CGGCTTTTTTCTTTTTGCTTATGTGGTGCTGAGGAATCGAACCCAGGGCCTCATGCATGCAAGGCAAGCGCTCTACCACTGAGCCACCTTCCCAGCCCAACCCCAAGATTTGTAGTGACTTTGTGGTCACAACATCCCTGCTCCTTAGCTTTTAATCTGTCCCCTTTGTTAGGGACTTTTAGAGAGAGAACTGGAGACATCCTCCTAGCAGTTGGGCCCCATCCTGGGACAGAGCCAGGCAGCTCGTCCTGCTCCATCAGGAGCTCCCTGGGGGGGGGAAGTCACTGTCGCCCTAGTTCCTGGAGGCTCCTGGAGGCCCCAGGATTCCCAGAGCTGGCACTGCACACAGACTACTCCTGCCGTGCGGCTCCTGCCGAGCCTGAAGAGGAACCGCCTGAGAGCAAAGCTGATTCCCAGGCAGCAAGATGCGGCCAGTGGTGCTGGAGAGGGAGAGAGAATAGCCCAGAGCAGCACGCGTGCAGGGGCCTTCTGCTCCTCCCCCGGCACCGCTGGGCTCCGGTGAGCAGCCGCTGAAGAGCTGTGTCAGGACTGCCTCCACTCCTTCAACACTAGAGCTTCCAGTGGCTGGTAAAAATGCCCGAAGCCCGGGCGGTGGCTCACGCCTGTAATCCTCGTAAAGGATCACGGTTCAAAGCCGGCCCAGGCAGGAAAGTCCATGAGCCTCTTACCTCCAGTTAACCACCAGGAAACTAGAAGTAGAGCTGTGGCTTAAAGTGGTAGGATGCTAGGCTTGAACAAGAGCTCAGGGACAGCGCGCAGGCCCTGAGTTCAAGACCCGCAACTGACAAAAGCAAAACAGTTATAGACCTTAGGTTATTTATTGCAAATTAATTTGCCATCATAAATGTAAGCTGTATGACCGCATATTGCCTGTACACATCTGGGCACTTCCCTACGTCCTGTCTGTCCCATCCGTCCGTCCAGCCAGTATGCATTGAATGAACTGTTGTGGTGGGTCAGAAATTCAGAGATGAATTATCCTAGCTCCTGACCCAGAGTTGAGACAGGAAGACACAAACTTCATCAAGTCTCCTCCTTCAAGGAGTTAGGAGCCACACGGGGTCCCCAGGGCAGAGATACGGAAGCAGCCCACCTCTCTGTCCTCATTTATCTATTATTCATTTGTCTTTGTGCTGGTCCTGGGGCTTGAACTCAGGGCCTGGGTGCTGTCCTTGAGCTTTTTTGCTCAAGGCTACTAACCACTTGAGCCACAGTTGATCTGGGTTTTAGTAATTCATTGGAAATGAGTCAGACTCTCCTGCCCAGGCTGGCTTTCAACCATGATCCTTAGATCTCAGCCTCCTGAGTAGCTAGGATTACAGGCGTGAGCCGCCAGTGCCTCTGTACTCCTTTGAGTCCTAGAGAGAGGCGTGGGTGTGCAGCACTGTGTGCCTCAGCTTTTGCCCCTCTCCTCTCCGAGTTCCCTTCCCCTGAGCACCCACCAAGCCTGCAGCTGGACTAGTCAGCACTGCGCTGTCACCCCCTTGGTGACTAGGAGACTAAGGCTGGGCTCTCTAAAAGGGTTCTTGGAGAAAGAGGCACTCAGGGAGGCCCTGGGTGGGGGACAGAGCTGTGACTCGAGAGGTCTAGGCAGTTTTTCTATGGGATGTTCTTGCTAAAGCCCTAAGGCTTTAGCGTCCTGGCACTGCATCTGTGCACTTGGGGACCCCAGCGGCTTCAGCTCCCACTCGGTGACCAGTGACCTGTGTGACACTGAGGAAAGCTCACAATCGCGTGTGCGGGGACGCCAAGCGCGGGGTCCCTGAAGGAACGTGGATTGTGGAGCAGGCTGGAGCCTCGGCTCTTGAGAGGAGTCACACCCAGCAGAGTGTGGCCAGGCACATGGCGCCTGTGGCACTGCCATTCCCACAGGCCTAGACCAGCTCTCCCCCACGCGGGGCCAGCGCCTCCTTGCCCACCTCTTGGTCCTCCATACAGGCTTCCCAGTGCAGAGACCAATTGGCCACCCGTCACATTAACCGTAGGGGACGGGAAACACAATGCCATGGGCCTTGGAATCTGGCAAGAGGGGTGAGGATGGCCTGGAGTCCAGGTCCCTGTTACCCCTGGGTTCTTGCTGCGGATAGAGGCCTGGTTGTGCGTGTCTCTGGTTCCCAGGATGCTGAGTTGGGGTTTTCTGCTGGGATGTTGGGATGAATCCAGATGGCATTGCTTCCTGGCAGGCAGCTGGGGGTGATCTGCCCACTGGGTGTGTTCTACACACCTGTTGTACGAGGAGCACAGAACCTAGCCTGGTGCCAGCCTGTTTTAGAGAGCTCTAAACCCTGCCACTGCTGATCTCACTTACTCAAGGTGTCGCATCATGTTCTTTCAGGCCATGCTGCTGCAGCCTCTGTGGGTTCCCCGGGGCTTTCTAACCTCTGTATCCCAGATTCACCTGAGGTCCAGGTCAGTGTTATCCATGGCCACACGGGGTCGCTGTTGAGTCAGCCGAGAGCTGATCAGAGGCCCGGTGAGGTCAGTCTGCTCTGTAGCGCAGGCGTCTGTGATAACTCTTGCCTGGCTCCTAGAGGTGCCACATTGGGGTGTGGGTCACATGCCATGCGCCTCTGGTAGACATAAAGCACCACCAGGGGTCCACACCCCAGAGAAAAGGCAGCTCCTCCCTTGGAGGTTTGTTCACACCAGAGAACGGCTATCCTCTCACCCAAAGGGCTGAATTATCCCGTAAATCCAGGCCACTCCCAGGAAAGGTCGGATTATGGGGTGTCCTCCAGGGCTTTGGCCTTCGGTGACTTAAAAACCTGATGACTGAGAACACCGTCCTCCTGCCTAATTTGGGCCAGAACCGAAACAGGAAAAATACCCAAGTCTGATGCTTCCCAGGTGACCCCTGGGTTATTCTGAGGGACACACACACACACACACACACACACACACACACACACACACGTTCTGCACAGGGCAATGGACACCCATGCCCTGCAAGTTCTGAGGGAGGGGCTCTAGGCAGGGCCTGAGCTGCACCCAGGGAAAGACAGCCCTGGGACTCAGCAGTGTGGATCAGAGGGGCTCTGAGCCCCCCCACATACCCCATTTCTGATGGAGAGGGGCAGGTTTCCTCCATTCCAGCCTTGGGAGCATCTCTGGGGTCTCCTACAACGCCAGGGCGCCGTGTCCATGCTCCTCCTTTCCCGCACAGTACTGCGTCCTCACTGCCTCCTGGAACTGAGCTTCTCTCTAGCTCTGCCGTAGCCACGTCCTGTCTTCGTGCAGATCCCAGGACTGGCTCAGGGCAGAGGCTGTGCAGGGCGCGCTTCCCAACATGTGGGCAGCGCAGCAAGAGTCCCCCCCCTTCCTCCCTGGACCCCACCTCGCCCCAGGTCCTACAGGACCAGAGAGCACACGCTTTCTTGACTTGCTTCCTGGAAGACACTTTTCCTGAATTCCGGAGACCAGGGGTTGGAGGCGTGGCTCAGGTGGTTCAGCAGCAGTGTCAGATATCAAGTTCAAGTCCCAGACTTAGGCCAAAAAATTTTTTTTTAATAAAGAGACCAGCGCTGTGACTGCAGGCTGCGGGCGCTGCATTCACGCTGGCATGGCACAGACAAGCCCATACTGTTCTTAACACTCTGCTCTCAGACTGTTGGATTCCTACAGGAAATGCAGTGTTACCGTCTTTCTTCCTGGGAACCATCGGACACTCCCTAGTCTAAGGAAACGGTGACATAAGCTTGCCGTTCAAAGGCTGATCATCTGCAATAGCATCTTATTTCTATGAGATGAGACCCTTTCTTTAAAAAAAAATAAGGATTTGTATTATTTGTATTACTAAAAACAGAAAGGACTTTGGTCTCTGGGAAGAAAGTGTGGGGCTCAGTGAGGAGCAGCTCCTGGCTCTGGGAGGCGCTGGGCTCCAGGGCTCTGGGCTCCGGCCTACAGTCCGTGTCCCCGTGGTGCACGGGGATCAAAGGCACTCTTGTCCAGTTGGGAAAGGCCCTGCTGGAGCTGGACTGCTGCGGTGGCAAGGGCCTGTGGCTGAGGCCAGGCGGGGCGCTGTCTTCTCATTGGTTCCACAGATGTGCTGGGCTTCGTCCTGAGGTCGCCTGGGCAAGGTCTCGGGAAATGGAGAATGCTGTGAAGGCCGCTGTTGGTGCGGGAATGAGATAAGTGGGGCCTGTTCTGGCTGCAGCAAAAGCTGCCAGGCACCCTGGCACCCCTTGGTGGACAGCCTCCCCCCCCCCTGTGGCCGGCCAGCTGCTGGGGGGGGAGCCCCGCCCCACACAGGCCACGCCCTCCCAGCTGGAGGCAGCTGTGTTCACAAGGCTGTTAGCAAATCAGTTATCAACAAGGAACCAAGGGGGAAGGTCCATGGGCATTAGCCAGGCTGCGGGCTGGCTGAGGGGACCCTGGAGAGTGCGCTGCATGAAGACCTGGCTCCTCAGCAGGGCAGGCAAGCCACAGGGGTCCCAGGAAGCATCTCCCTCCCAGGGAGGGAAACTGAGGCCCAGAAAGGCAAAGTGACAGCTCTGTACACCCCAGCAGGCTAATGCATAGCTTGTAGCCAATGCCACAAGCTCTGGGCTCTGGGGCTCTCCTACCATGTGCCAGCAGGGCCAGGGAGAGAGCAGCGCAAGGTGCACAGCTCAGGACTTGAAATCTCAGACTACAGCAGGGCCACCGGCAGCTCCTCCTGCCTGAGAGCCTGTAGAAATGCAGGAGCTACAGCTGGCCTCACCCCTTGAGAACTGGGGTACACCAGGCTAACTCTGAGAAGTCAGCGTAAAGACTCAGGGCACCCTCCCTCCCCCCCACCCCGGGTAAGCTCTACCGTAGAACCTTCCAGAAGCTTTAGGACAGGGGACTAGAGGGGTTCAGTGAGGCCCTGCCCCACCCGGAGAGTGGGGAAGCACTCCGGGCCCCCCAGAATGAGGGGCCCACACCTCTGCCACAGGGCATGCGGCCTTCCCTCCTGCAACATCACCAACCCACAGGCTGGCAGGCCTCCGTGCCCACGGGCCGCGCTTGGCCACGTGCAGGACGCTTCACTGGGAGCCTGGGAAGGTCGCTTGGTCAGATCCGGACTCAGCCACATCTGAAGGTGGCTGGGGAGGGAGGGGTCCGCCTCCTCCACGCCCGGGCTGGGCAGCTCAGCGGCAGTACTCGCGCTCGATGCTGGCCATCAGCTCCTCCTCCGCACGGTCGTAGCAGATGGCCGACTGCCCCTCCCGCAGCTTGTGGCTGCCAGCGGGGGCTCTGCAGGTAGGAAACGGGACCTTCAAACTGGCATTCCTACAGCAGCCCAGCATACGCCAGCCTCGGCCTTCCCCCCACGCTACCCGCCTTGGCTACTCTGCGGGGGAAGCTGAGGAGGGAAAGATCTGGGGGCAGGTCCAAGCGCTGCCAGGCACCGCAGTCATTCGCTCCTCCACAGCCTCCCCGCCTGCTCTGGAGACCGGAGCCTCACCCTGAGTTCACTGGAGGCACAGACAACGTGGGACGGATGTACATGGGGCCTTATGCCATGGGAACCAGAGTCCCATGTCCACTTGCCAATGCCCCCCCTCGGGCCAGTGCCCTCTGGGTGTCACTGAGGCTGCTGGCAGAACAGGACGACGCTCGGTGACCCGAGGCTTGCGGGACTCTTCGGACTCCGGAGCATCTGTGGTGTGTGGGCTTGTGCCCCGCGCGGCAGTCTGGCAGGTGGGTAGCGTGGGAGCCCAGTGCGCGTGTGGGGACAGGGCAGGTCTGCAGCTGCCAGGCTGGGGGGGGGACAAACCAGAGCTCCCGTGTGAACTTGGGGACAGGATGATGAGCTAAGGCCCAGCACTGGATTTTTTTGTTGGTGGTGGTGGTCGTGGGGCTTGAACTCTGGGCCTGGGCGCTGTCCCTCAGCTCTTCAGCTCAAGGCGAGCGCTCCACCACTTGAGCCACAGCACAACTTCCAGTTTTCTAGTGCTTTATTGGAGATAAGAGTCTCACAGACTTTCTTGCCTGGGCTGGCCTTGAACTGTGATCCTCAGATCTCAGCCTCCTGAATAGCTAGGATGACAAGCGTGAGCCACTGGTGCCCGGCTAAGGCCCAGCACTGTTAAGACCCGTGAGTTCTGGTTGGGGGCCAGAAGCTCACGCCTATCATCCTAGCTACTCAGAAGGCTGAGATCTGAGGATCTGTGAGCTCCTTAGGAACAAGGGCAGTCTTTGGGGAAGAAGTTGCTGTGTGTAGCAGGACACTTGAGAATTCACAGGTCATGACCTTGCTCAGAGGGGCTGCCCCTGGAGGAACTTGGGGACCCGAAGGCTTGGGGAGCTTTGGTCCACACACCCTCCCCGTACTTACTCAGAGGCGTGGCTGCCTTCAGGGTGGTCTTCAGCCTTCTGTTCTGGAGACCCCTTGAAAACAAAGAAAAGGCATCCAAAGATTATCAATAGGCTGGGACACAGTGTTCACACCTGTAATCCCAACTACTAGGGAGGCAGAATAGGGAGGTTTGAGGCCATCACAGGCAAAAAGATACTAAGATAGTTGGCACCAGTGGCTCACGCCTGTAATCCTAGCTGCTGAAGAGACTGAGATCTGAGGACTGCAGTTCAAACCCAGCTCTAGTATGAAAGTCCATGAAACATTTATCTCTGATTAACCACACACACACAGCCAGAAGTGGAGCTGTGGCTCAAGTGGTAGAGCACTAGCCTTGATCAAAATTGCTCAGGGAAAGCACTCAGATTCTCAGTTCAAGCCCAAGGACTAGCAAAAGGAAAAAAGAAAAGAAGAAAAACATCCTGACTTAATCAAACCGTAACCCCCTTTGTATAACTACTTAATAGGAAGGAAGGAAGGAAAAGAGAGAGAATGAGGAAGAAAAAGAAGAAAGAAAAAGGAAGGAAAAGAAAGGAAAGACATGAAGCCAGGAGCTTGTGGCTCACACCTGTAATCCAAACCTCCTGGGCTCCAAGGACCTGTGAGAAGTCGGTTTGCACTCAGAGTTTTCATCCTAAGTATTCACCAGGTATGAGAACAAACCAAAGAAAGTGCAGGGGCTGAGGATGGAACTCCGGTGGCAGCGTGCTTGCCTTGCAAGCATGTGGACCTGGGTTCAACCCCTAGTGCTGCCCAGTATAAGAAAGAACTGGAGGCCAGGGTAGGGGCTTGTGCTTTAATCCTAGCTACTCAGGAGGCAGATCTGAGGAAGGAAGTTGAAAGCCTGCCCTGGCAGACAAAGCAGAAAGACTCTTATCTACAGTTAACCAGCAAAAAGCCAGAAAAGGCAATATGGTTCAAGTGGTAGAACACTGACTGACTGAAAAACCCAAGCAAAAGAGAGGCTCTGTGTTCAAGCCCCAACACACATACATACACACACACACACACACACACACACACACACATTTTTAAAAGATTTTTTTTCTGAGACCAGGACTGGAACTTGGACTCTGATGCTTTTGCTGGCTGGTTCTCTACCCCCTGAGCCACTCCTCCAACCCCAAGATTTTTTTTTAAACATGGACTCGGGCTGCAAAAGCCTTACAGAATTAACCAGGAACATGAATGTTGGGACCAGGAGATAAGTCTCAATGAACTTTTTGCCAGAGGTTGGTTGAATTCAAACCACTGTCCGCCTGCTCTCTCTTACATAGCTTAGATTACAGGTGTGAGCCACTGTGCGCAATCTGAACGCTCCACTTTAAACAGTACTGTGCATATATGCAGTCACCTGACAGACATAGGACAAACAGTAGATGACTAAGAGCACAGTGTGTAAGTTGTGAACGTACACGAACGAATGTGTAACCCATGCCCACTAAACCACAGCACAGACCAGGCCAACCGAACTCAAGGCTCTCAAAGCTGTCCATGGCCCTGGTGGTGCTCTTCCTTCCCCGCCCCCACCCCGGGTCCCTACTGATCCACTTGGACACTGTCCTAAAATTCTAGTCATCTAGGTTCACACAACGCTTTTGTGTTCAGCTTCTCTCTCTGCATCAGTAGCATAGCCCCCTTTTTAAAACTGCATTTCCATGAGTATTATATGATCAGATGCACATAGACGTTGTGCCTTTGTGTTCTAAGAATATCCTCTTCTGGTCTGTGTATGAATGCCTGGAGTCCTGTATAATTTACCATATCCCAGTGTATTTTAGATCTAGCTTCTTCATAAGAGAGAAAACAGGCGCCCAACATGATTTGTTCTACATCCATCCATTTCCCTGCAAATGACATATTTTTCTTTCTAATGGCTGTGTAAAATGCCATGTGTCTAGGTACCATTTTAGGATCTGTTCATCCAGTGCAGGCTGTTTCTTCAACTTGGCTGTTGTGAATAAATAGCGCGGCAATGAACATGGGTGTGCAAGTGTCTTCACAGTGTCCTGGCTTGTGCTGCTCAGGGTAGATGCCCGGAGTGGTATGGCTGGGTCTTATGTTTAGTTTCTTTTTTTTTTTTCTTTTTGCTTATGTGGTGCTGAGGAATTGAACCCAGGGCCTCATGCATGCAAGGCAAGCACTCTACCACTCAGCCATCTTCCCAGCCCTTATGCTTAGTTTCTTGAAGAACTTCCAGACTGTTCTCCAGAATGCTTCTACTAGTTTACATTCCCACCAGCAGCACACAGTAGGGTTCCTTTTTCTCCATATGCCCATCAACATTTTTTTTTTGGGTCCGGTAGTGGTCCTGAACTCTGGGCCTGGGCGCTGTCCCTCAGCTCTTCAGCTCAAGGCTAGTGCTCTACCACTTGAGCCACAGCACCACTTCTGGCTTTTTTCTTTTTG